CTCTACGTGTGAACCACGCCTTCATACAATCCCGTGTGCGTGTTTTGGTTTGTAATATGCTTAGCAAGTTATACATTGGCCGTGTCACGGGAAGGTGACCTCCAATCTTTTTGACGCCGGATTGGCTGGCGCCTCTACTGTCTTGATCTGAGTTGGGGACATTGTAATCGTTGGTTGTATATTGGCAAGTAAATCGATTAGGTTTTTGCTGTTGTTGTTGTGTCGGCTGTAAATTGTGAAATGTGTTCTCCGTGTTACCAATGATGAACAAGTCCCTTCTTCGGAAAAAAAATAACAAACATTTTCGGAGAACACGAACAAAAAATTAAATTTCAAAATATTTTTTCAGGAATGCGGACAAAAGATGAAATCAAAAAGGTGTTCTAAATTTTCCCCAAACATTTTTTAAATTTGTGAACATTTGTTTTCTTAAAAGTTAAATGGGAACATTTTTGAATTTCCGAACAAAATCCAATAGGTGCGAGCATTGTCGTCGTTTAGTTGGGCAAGGCCCGAGAATTTTTCTTTCTTTTCTATGTTTTCATTTTTCATTAATTTATTTTCTCCTTTCTTTTCTATGTTTTCATTTTTCTTCTTTTTTCATGAATTAATTTTTTTCTCCTTTTTAAACTTTATTTTTTAACCTGTTCCAAAAATTGAAATACCAAAATAACATTTTTAAGTAACTGTTCTAAAATTATGATTTTAAATTATTTTTTCCTTTAAATATTTATTAAATGCTTTTAGAAAAAAACATTTGCTATTTTCAATTTTATCATTTTGTATTTATTAGTTATGCTAAAAACTTAAAATGACAATTAGTACCTATATAAGTTATGGTTTTAAATACCATTTTCCTTCACACCTAGCATGGATGCCTACACGGGCACGCTACGTTGAACATGGTGTTTTTTTGGACATTCTTGAAATGATCCCAACTTTTGCGAGCAGGTGGCGTGCCCATGGTAGTCATCTATACCCCCAATATTTTTTTTTCATGGTCTTGTATGACCAATTCAAGGCACCAAGCAAATTTGGTTGGGTTTTCGATAAGTGTTGCATTTTCTAGAGTTTTCTCGGTAAAAAAAAGTCGATAAATGGTTAGACATGCCGCAACTTGCATATGTGCTGGAAGTCGTTCAAACCTGCCATGAATGCCTACCATGGGCATGTCCACCTAGTGGAAGAATTTAGGGTAATTTCAACGATGTCCATAAAAACACCATGTTCAACGGAGGGTGTTCAGGTTGGCCAGAAGGGTCCCTCTGAGAGCTCGTGGTTTTTTGACATCCTTAAAATGGCCTTAATTTTTCATGATCTTGTATGACCAATTCAAGGCACCATGAAAATTTGTGTTTGTTTTCGACAATTTTTATATTTTTCTGGAGTTTTCTCAGTCAGAAAACACGGAAAAAAGGCTGGACGTGTCGCAACTTGCATACGATGTCAAAAATTGTTCAAACCTGTCATGGATGCCTATGAGGGACATGCCCACCCAATGGCAAAAAGTTGGATCATTTCAAGGATATACAAAAATAGACCATGTCAAACGAAGTTGCT